CAGGTGGCTCAGCCTGTAATCCCAGCGCTTTGGGAGGCCGAGGTGAGTGGATTGCCTGAGCCCGCGGGTTCAAGACCCGCCCCGGCAACTTGGTGCGACCTCATCTCTACAAGAAATCAAAAAGTAGCCGGGTGTGGTAGCACGAGCCTGTAGTTCCAGCTACTTGGAAGGCTGAGGCAGAAGGATCGCGGGAGCCCAGCAGGTCGAGGCTGCGGTGGCCGGGAGCGGCCACTGCACTCCAGTCTGGGTGACAGAGTGAGACTCCAACTCAAAAAAAAAAAAAGTTTTAAAATTAATTAATTCAGAAGTCCCGTTAAATCTGCTCTTTATAGAGTTAATACTTTTAACTTGTATATTAAATTCTAATTGAATTAATTTCTGAATTTAAAAACTCAGAATTAGCCGGGCTTGGGGGCTCAGCCTGTAATCCCACGCTTTGGGAGGCTGAGGTGAGTGGATTGCCTGAACCCGCGGGTTCAAGACCCGCCTGGGCAACTTGGCGAGACCTCATCTCTACAAATATCAAAAAATTAGCTGGGCGTGGTAGCGTGTTCTGTAGTTCCAGTTACTTGGAATGCTGAGGCAGAAGGATCGCTGGAGCCCAGCAGGTCAAGGCTGTGGTGGCCAGGAGTAGCCACTGCACTCCAGTCTGGGCGACAGAGTGAGACTCCAACTCAGAAAAACAAAAAAAACAAAAAAAAACCCTCAGAATTAAACAGAATAACTCAGACTTTATTTTTACTTGGAAGAGCAAGCTCAAATCATATGTTCTCACGGATGAATCAAAAGGACAAATAACAAGTAATGTTTTCAGCTTTGAGCACTACCATAACTGAATATCTACAGGATATATTCCTAAAATAAAGCCACTGGATCTAGGAATCCTTAGTGTTGACAGATGTTGTAGGAATGACCACCAAAAGGCTGTACTGGACATTCCCAACAGGTGTTTGGGAATCCATTTCTCCATACCTTGCCCAATTGCATTATTCATCTTTTTATTTTTATGTCTTTTCTAACCAAATAAGTAGACTGTTACCTACCTATTGGGTAATAATAGGTAATGAATTAGCCTGCCTATTAAGACATGCCACCTCACGATAGTTTCCTCAAGAGTATACTCTTCCAGTCTACACATTACCATGCTATACTCCTCAAAATTCCTTTGACTCAGCCGGGCTCGGTGGCTCAGCCTGTAATCCCGTGCCTTTGGGAGGCTGAGGTGAGTGGATTGCCTGAGCCCGCGGATTCAAGACCCGCCTGGGAAGCGAAACCTCATCTCTACAATAAATCAAAAAATTAGCCGGGCGTGGTAGCGCATGCCTGTAATTCCGGCTACTTGGAAGGCTGAGGCAAAAGGATCGCCAGAGCCCAGCAGGTCGAGGCTGTGGTGGCGGGAGCGGCAACAGAGTGAGACTCCAACCCAAAAAAATAAAAATAAAAATTCCTTTGACTCCTCTTGATGGCTAGAAGCCTAAAGTCCTTAGAACGCTTGCTTTCTTTCATGTGGAGAGTAATACCATATCCAAAGAATATGCATTAATCAATCAGTATCAACCTGGAGGAGTCTCTAGTAGCAAGCCACATTTTTTCCAACAACTTGGATAAAACTAGTTATCATTAAATTTACAGATCACTTCTGTACCAGATCAGTAACATTTCAGTACCAGATTACAGTGCTACTAACCTAAAAATTGTAAGTATCATAAAACATAGTTGAGTAATATGCTATCTTATTAAAAAATTAAGCTCCAGCCGGGCTCAGTGGCTCAGCCTGTAATTCTGGCACTTTGGGAGGCCAAGGCAAGTGGATTGCCTGAGCCTGCAGGTTCAAGACCAGCCCAGGCAACTTGGGGAGACCTCATTTCTACAATAAAATAAAAAAATTATCCGGGTGTGGTAGTGTGTGCCAGTAATTCCAGCTGCTTAGAAGGCTGAGGTGGAAGGATCACCAGAGCCCAGCAGGTTGACACTGAGGTGGCTATGAGTGTGCCTCTGCACTCCAGCCTGAGTGACAGAGTGAGATTTTGACTCAAAAAAACCCCCAAAACATTTAAGTACCACAGCTATTTCATAAATGAACTTGCCAAGGATTCGAAGGTCTCTGGCTTCTCGTCAATCTTCCCAGCCTTCTTCATCCGATTCAATCGCTTCTTCTCAACCAGGCCAGTCCGATCGAGGAACGTGTCATCATCACTGTCATAAAAGTCTTCATCTTCCCAGTTCTTGGCTTTCCTTTTCCGAGATACTAGAGAGGGATAAAAATAATTGATAACAACCTGTTTTTAAAAAAGAGAAGACAAATAGCTTAAATGTCATCATCAACTATGATAAGAGAGGATTCCACATGCTGCAAAAACTACATATGAAAACATCCAGCCTCACCGGGCGCAACGGCTCACGCCTGTCATCCCAGCACTTTGGGAGGTTGAGGTGAGAGAATTGCCTGAGCCCAGGGGTTTGAGACTAGCCTGGACAATTTGGTGAGACTTTGCCTCTACAATAAATCAAATATTAGCCAGGCATGGTGGTATGCACCTATGGTTCCGCTACTTGAAGGTTGAGGCGGAAGTATCGCCTGAGCCCAGCAGGTCGAGGTTACAGTGGCCATGAGCGTGCCACTGCACTTCATCAGCCTGAGCGACAGAGTGAGAATTCAACACAAAAAAGTTTTTTAAATAAAATAAAATAATTAGCAGGGTGTGGTAGCACGTGCCTGTAGCAGTCCCAGCTACTTGGGAGGCTAAAGCAGATGGACTGCCTGAGTTCAGGTTGAGGCTACAGTGAGCCATGATCATGCCACTCACCTGGGTGACACAGTGAGATTCCAACACAAAGAAAAGGTGAGGAGAGGAGAAGTTAAACTTTGAAGACATGATGCTAAGTGAAATAAGCCAAACACAAAAGGACACTTATCACGAGTCCACTTGTATGAGGTGTCTAAAGCAGTCAAATTCATTTTATTAAAAAAGACAGAAAAGTAGAATGCTGGCTGCCGGTGCTGAGGAAGACAGAGAATAGAGTTAGTGTGTAATTTCAGCATGGAATGTTAAAGTTCTGAGCTGGACAGTGGTGAGGGTTGCACAACAATGTGAATGTCACTTAATGTCACTGAAATACTTAAAATAATAAATATGTGAAGTCTATTTTACCACAACTTTTCATTAAGGTAAATGGCTACTAATTTTTTTTTTTTGAGTCAAGTTCTCACTCTGTTGCCCAGGCTGGAGTGCAGTGGCACGATCACAGCAGCCTCCAACTCCTGGATTCAATCAACTCTTCCACTTCAGTCTTCCAAATGGCTGAGACTACAAGCAAACACCACCGTGCCCAGCTAATTTTTAATTTTTTTACAGAAAGGAGGTCTTGCTATGCTGCCCACGTTGGTCTCAAGCTCCTGCCTCAGCCTCCCAAAGTGCTGGAATTGCAGGCATGAGCCACCATACCAGGCCACAAATGGCTAACTTATTTAATGATCAAAAGGCTCTTAAAACTCAATGAGTAAAAAGGAAAAAAGATAAATTAGAAAAGGCCAATAGTCCAAAAGAAAAACTGAAAAATTAAAATCAAAGCAACGCCAGGCTTGGTGGCTCAGCCTATAATCCTGCACTTTGGGAGGCCGAGGTGAGTGGATTGCCTGAGCCTGTGGGTTCGAGACCTGCCTGGGCAACTTGGCGAGACCTCATCTCTACAATAAATCAAAAAAATCAGTCGGGTGTGGTAGTGCATGCCTGTAATTCCGGCTACTTGGAAGGCTGAGGCGGAAGGATCGCCAGAACTCAGCAGGTCGAGGCTGCGGTGGCCGGGAGCAGCCACTGCACTCCAGTCTGGGCGACAGAGTGAGACTCCAACTCAAAAAAAAAAAAAAATCTAAAAAAAAAAAAATCATAGCAGTTCACAAAAAACAAATACAAATGGCCAATAAACATTTGAAAAGATCTTACTGCAGCCTGCCTAGTTTGCCTAGTTTGCAGGGAGGAGCGCAGAAGGGAGGGTTAGGGAGGGGGATGCTCTGATGAATTTAAAAAAAGAAAAAAAAAAATCTTAGTTTTTAAAAATAATAAACTACAAATTAAAACATGATATATTACTTTCACCTATTTGACTAGAAAAAAAACATAAAAAGATGGATAACACAGAGTTGGGCAAATGGATTCTCAAGCACCTGTGGGAATGTACTTTGATACAACCTTTAATCATGGTCAATCCAACACCATCAGTCAACATTAAAAATCCATCAACTGGTCAGGCATGGTAGCTCATGCCTGTAATCCCAGTGCTTTGAGAGACGGAGGCGAGAGGATTGCCTTGAGCCCACAGGTTCGAGACCAGCTTGGGCAACGTGACAAGACCTCATCTCTACAATAAAAAAAAAAAAAAAATTAGCTGGGCATGGTGGCGCATGCCTGTAGTTCCAGCTGCTTGGAAGGCTGAGGCAGGAGTGCCTGAGCCCAGCTAGTCAAGGCTGTGATGGCCATGAGCGTGCCACTGCATGCTGGCCTGGGTGACAGAGTGAGACTCCAACTCAAAAAAAAAAAAAAAAAATCCATCAATAGCTGTTTCACATCCAGGAATTCATCCTATAGATATTACCAGTGCAACAGCATTTGTAACAGTGAAAATGAGGAGAGTTACATCAATAGGCGATTACATATTCTAGATTTCCATTAATGCTAAAAAAAGGCGGGGAGGACTACAGAAGCTGTTTTTTTTCTATCCCCCAATATTCTACTCCCCTTGCTCAGATAAGAGTAGCTCTTTCTTCTAGAAAACTTTTCCTCCATTTCATCTGGTTTATGGAAAGAGGCTCTCTTTCCAGCGAGGTTATTAAAGTGAGAGAATATACATCCAGCTGTGGAATATACATCTAGTTGCCAGCTTTAGGGCATGGGGTAAGAATTTGTATCTGCGAAATGTAAAAATGCACTCATGACACAGATTCACTCACATATACACAGCTAGTATGAATTTGGTTTCTAGTATTTGTAAGCAAAATAGTCCTTATTAATGTAAGCCCGATAATTTTCAAGTTAAGATAGTACACTAAACATATATATCGGGCCAGGCTCAGTGGCTCAGCCTGTAATACCAGCACTTTGGGAGGCCAAGGCAAGTGGACTGCCTGAGACCATGGGTTCGAGACCCACCCAGGCAACTCTGGGCAACAGAGTGAGACGCCAACTCAAAAAAAAAAACCAAAACATACATATCGGCCACATACAGTAGCTCACACCTTAATCTTAGCACTACAGGAGGCCAAGGCATGAAGACTGCTTGAGCCCAAGAGTTTGAGATCATTCTAGACAATATACTGAGACTTCACCTCTACAACAAATATAAAACTTAGCCAGGCTTAGTGGTGCACACCTATGGTCCCAGCTACTGGGGAGGCTGAGGTAGAAGGACTGCCTGAGGCCAGGAGGTTAAGGGTGTGGTAAGCACTCTAGGAGGGGCAACAGAGTGAGACTCTAACTCAAAAAAAAAAAAACCCAAAAAACAAAAAACATACATATCTAATTTAACTCTCTCCCCAAATCCCCCTAAAACTGTAGTAAAGATATTTTTTTTAGGCCAGGTACAGTGGCTCAAGTCTATAATCCCAGCACTTTGGGAGGCCGAGGTGAGAGGACTGCCTGAGCTCACAGGTTCGAGACTAGATCTGGCAACCTGGTGAGACCTCATCTCTACAATAAAACAAAAAGTTAGCTGGGTGTGGTGGCGCATGCCTGTAATCCCAGCTACTTGGAAGGCTGAGGCGGAAGGATCGCCGGAGCCCAGCAGGTCGACTCTGGGGTGGCCGTGAGCATGCCACTGCACTCTAGCCCAGGCAACAGAGTGAGACTCCAACTCAAACAAAAGAAAACAAAACAAAAAGCTGTAGTAAAGAGATTTTTTAAAAAGACACTAATCCACAAAGACAGAGAGAATACTAGAGGAAATAGCAACACCAAATTTTTGGAAATTAGACAGCAGACAGGTGAGTAGAAACTAACTTAGCAGAACTAAAAAAGATGATTCTGGCCAGGTGAAGTGGCTCATACTTGTAGTCCCACCACATTGGGAGGTTGAAGGGGGAAGACTGCTTGAAGCCAGGAGTTCGAGGTTGCAGTGAGCTATCATCACACGACTGCACTCCAGCGTGGACAACAGAACAAGACCCCATCTCCAAAAGAAGAATAAAAAATAAGAAAAAGCTGAACCTTAAGCCTGATACACTGCAGAGTCCTCAGAAAAAGCAGGGGCTGGAGATGGACAGTCATGTTAAAATGAAGACTGAATAGAAGTCAGTGAGAAGCAGATATTCCTCCCTGCCCACCTACCTCCTTGCCACCCCCAGCAGAAATTCACAGGTTAATCTCCAGAAAGGGTAAGACAGAGAGTCTGGTCTTTGGGTTGACTAGTAGAGTCAACTAGTAGAGGCTGCAACCCGAAGATAGTTCTGGCAACAGCCATGGGCTGAGGGCCCCGCAGCACCCTCCCCCACTGCGTCTCAGATGCAGCAGCCAGTCCTGTCCTTTCAGGCAGGAGACTTTCTGGGGAAGCTTGCCCACAGAGGCGGCCAACCTAAGGACACTGACTTCAGGTTCCCCAACAAACACCACATATATCACAGAGTACTGCTCGGAGTCAACAAACCCCACCTATGTATTCCACACTGTCAATCACCTTTTTCATATTCACATAAAAATCTACAATTAAGGATTACATGACACCTGAGAAAAACCTCTAACATGCAGAACCAAACAAAAAGTTACCTAGAGAAAATAGAGATGAGATAATTACACTCTGTGGAACAAGAAGATATTATGCTTTTAAAAAGACTACCCAAAAAACAAAAATGAACTTTTAGAAAGTAAAATCTTGGTAGTAAAATAGAGATTGAAAGATAAAGTTGCAGAAATCTCCCAGAAAGAACAAAAGACATGAAGACGAAAAGAAAAAATTTAAATAGTTAGTCCAAGACGTCTACTACTTGAATAACAAAATTCCAGACAAGACAGAGGAAGAAAATGATTAATAGCATAACTGCAGAAACGTTCCGGAATGGCCAAGATTTCCAGATCAAAGGGACCAGCAAGCGCCTACAAAAATGGACAAAAACAGACCCCCAGAAAGGTGCATCACAGTTTTGTTCAGAACCATTAGAACGGAAACGCATAAACTTCCAGCAAGGGAAATAAAAAAGATGACACACAATGGCACACAACAGATCAAAATCTGAACAGTTTAGGACTTCTCAATGGCAATACCGGAAGTAAAGACAGTAAAAGCAATGGCTTCAAAGGAAAACTGTTTTCACCTTAGAGTTCTACTCCCAGCCAAATGACAATCAAGAGTGAAGCAACTGCTCTATATACTTGTATGACAGTGGGGAGGGGGGAGTGAAGCTAGAATAACTGTATTTTCAGCATGGAAGACAGAATGCTTCATGCAGCTTATCTCCCACACATCCTCCCTCTGAAACCTACTAGAGGGTGTTCAGTAAGACCAAGAAGGCAAAAGATGTGCATGTGAAGATGCCATCACCCATGCCCGCTAGGATTGCACCACCTTTCTAACCTGCTAGAATGACAGAAGGATGAGCCCACTAAAACAAGGAATAAACCGAGAAATACAAGAACATGAGAATCGAGAAACAGAAACTCCACTTTGAGAAATGCCAAAGAAATCACAAGGATGGCAGTAAAGTGGGGTCCCACCTGGCAGTTTGGCAGCAGGTCTGGAGAGCAATGAGCCCTAAAAGAAGGAGAACAGTGCTCATGTTTCAGAAAATATGTCTCCAACAAAAAATTAGAACTGATAAATTGCCTAATGAGAACGATCATGTAGAAAACCATACTGAAATGCTACTAAAAGGCACAGAAAGAATGAGCAAGAGGTATCAAAAAAACCAAACACATAAAAAATTACCATCTTTAAGAGAAACAAAGAGGCTGGGCTCGGTGGCTCAGCCTGTAATCCCAGCGCTTTGGGAGGCCGAGATGAGTGGATTGTCTGAGCCCGTGGGTTCAAGACCCGCCCAGGCAACTTGGTGAGACCTCATCTCTACAATAAATCAAAAATTAGTTGGATGTGGTAGTGCGTGCCTGTAGTTCCAGCTACTTGGAAGGCTGAAGTGGAAGGACCCCTGGAGCCCAGCAGGTCAGGGCTGCGGTGGCCGGAAGTGTGCCACTGCACTCCAGTCTGGGCGAGGGAGTGAGACTCCAACTCACACAAACAAAAAAAAGAGAGAAACAGAGAAATACAAAAATTACCATCTTTAACAGAAACAAAAAAATAAAACTGCATGGCTATGACTAATAGTCTAACTCTAACCCTAACCCTAATATTTGTATAAGCAAAATCACGTAAATACTAAATACTATCTTGACAGAGTCAATAGGCAATGTCTAAAATAAATGACTGGGCCAGGCGCAGTGGCTCATGCCTGTAATCCCAGCACTTTGGGAGGCTGAGGTAGGACTGCTTGAGCCCAGGAGTTTGAGACCAGCCTGGGCAACATAGCAAGACTTCATCCCTATAAAAAAAGAAAAACCAAAAAGTTCATCAGGTGTGGTGACACACACCTGTAGTCCCAGCAACTTGGAAGGCTGAGGTGGAAGGATCACCTGAGCCCAGGAGGTCGAGACTGCAGTGAGCTGTGATAGTGCCACCATACTCCAGCTGGGGTGACAGGGTGAGATCCTGGTTCAAAAAAAAAAAATGTTTTTAAATGACTCAAAATATAACAGCATTCTCTTGTTTCTTAGAAATATGGGTATTTTTTGCCAGGCATGGTGGCTCATGCTTATGATCTCAGCACTTTGGGAAATTGAGGCAGAAGGAGTGCTTGAGGCCAGGAGTTTTTTCGAAAGAGACTGGGCAACATAGCTAGACCCTGTCTCCACAAAAAATAAAAAAATTAGCAGATGTGGTGGGTCCTGCCAAGAGTCTCGGCTACTTGGGAGGCTGAGACAGGAGGATTCCTTGAGCCTTGGAGTTGAAGGGTACAGTGAGCCATGATCACACCACTGGACTCTAGCCTAGGCAACAGAATGATCTCTCTCTTAAAAAAAAAAATGTACAGTTTACATTCACCCCCATTAAGAGGTTTTATTATCTTTTGTGCTAAATTTTCCTTATTTATTCATTTTTTGAGTATAGGTTTCACTCTGTCATTCAAGCTGGAATGCAATAATAATACCATCATGGCCCACTGCAGCCTCGACCTCCAGGGTTCAGGTGATCCTCCAGCCTCAGTCTACCAAGTAGTCGGGACTACAAGCACATAGCACATGCCTGGCTAATTTTTTGATTTTTTTGTAGAGATGAGGTCTCACAATGTTGCCTAGGCTGATCTTGAACTCCTGGGCACTCATCTTGGCCTTTTTTTTTTTTTTTTTCAGTTGGAGTCTCACTCTGTCGCTCACAGCCACCACAGCCACCACAGCCTCAAACTGCTGGACTCAGGTGATCCTTCCACCCTCAGCCTTCCAAGTAGCTGGAACTACAGGCATGTACCACCATGCACAGCTAACTTTTTGATTTATTGTAGAAATGAGGTCTCGCCAGGTTGCCTAGGCTGGTTTCAAACCCCCTGAACTCAGGCAATCTTCTTGCCTCCACCTCCCAAATTGCTGGGATTACAGGTGTGAGCCATCTTGCCTGGCGTTTTTGTGTGTGTGTGTGTGTTTTTTTAAAGAAAGGTTCCTATATACAGACCTGCTTCTTGCCGCAGCAATCCCAAGGTATCAAGGATCCGACAAGCTTCCAGTGAGCACTGGATCATGGCTTCTTTTTTCTTTCCTGAGTGAATGGCCTCAGCTACCAGTTGCTTTCCAGTTGAATCATCCACAGGTAATCTGTATTGATTTGGTGGGAATTATAGCAGAGCACTAAGCTCCAGTTCTCATGCAAATACCCTGTGATAACAGTCATGCTCTTTTAGATGGCTTTTCAGTCCTTCGATCATCTTGTTCTATCTTGCCAAGGCTGGACTTAAAGTCTTTCCCTTCCACTTCTTAGCCATCACACCACAGCCCCCAATAAAATAAGTGTCACTAAACTACCAAAGCCCACGTTTAGGAATAACCTAAAATTAAAACTAAAGTCACCCTTCAGGTCATTGTCTATAACCATAAATTAAATCTGAAATTAGCCACTTTCCAGAAACGAACATTAATAAGAACATACCTCACCCTGCAGAGCCAAGTGCTGTGTCCCTGTTCATCAAATTCATACTCTAATTCTTCTCCTGTGGGAGAAAGGAAGAAAAACAATTCTAATAGAATTTGAAAATTACTAGTTGATACAATGAGAAATGAGAACATCAAGTTCCCATACCACACTGGAGAATAAATTTCAATGCACTTCACTCTCTTTCCTGGGAATTATCGTCTGATAACAAAATTAGAATGAGTTTGAGGCAGGGAAAAAAGCAAACTCAGATCAAAACAATCAATTCTCAATATACTAGATAGTATACGGTACCTTTCACGGTTTTCATAAGTTGTAGACTTAAGTGGTTATTTTATTAACATTGCCTGATGTCTTGAAACATAAAAATTAAGTGCACAATCAGTTCATATATTACTCATACGTATGTAACACATACAAATGAGGGAGACCACCAAAAAACAATAATTATCTTCTGGAGAGCGGGCGGGACACTTGTAGTACAGATTTGTCCCTCTAGGAAAGTGGTCTAGGAACCCATCGGCATCAGTGGACCAGCCAGCATGCTGTGAAAGGCTGCATTCACCTTCAAGGAATTCTTTTTTGGAGATTCTTTCAATGCATTTGCCCACACTATACTGAGTGTTTAACAGTTTTTGACCAAAAATGGCCTGACTCATGTGCCCTACTCTCCCCATTCACCACATCTTGTCCAAGCAATTTATTCTTTTGTTTTCCCAGATGAAAAAAGTCCTCAAAGGAAAATGCTTGCTAATGAGAGAAACAAAAAATGACAGAAGCACTAAAAGGTATCAAAATGGACGAGTTCAAAAATGGTTTTGAGCAGGAGGAAAAGTGTCTCGATAATTCTATTGCATCAAATGGAGAATACCTTGAAGGTAACTGGTTTAAATATGTAAAAATAAATACACAATTTTTTACAAATAAATAACATACATACATATAGACAGATATTCTCTCAAAGTATCTCTAATGAAACAATCCTCTGTGGAAACTTTTTTTTTTTATCATACAAAGTAGCTGGGCGTGGTGGCTCAGGCCTGTAATGCCAGGACATTGGAAGGCAGAGACAAGAGGACTGCCTGAGCCCACAGGTCTGAAACCAGCCTGGGCAACATGGCGAGACCTTGTCTCTACAATAAATCACAAAATTAGCCAGGCATGGTGGAGTATGCCTTCAGCTCCCCCTCCTTGGAAGGCCGAGGTGGAAGAATCACCTGCCAAGTCAAAAGACAAAAAAAATTATAAAAAGTCAAAACCCATATTACAAATTACAAAAGCTCAAGTGAATTAGGGATGAAAAAAGAAAAATCACAAGAAGTTTGTTCAATATCCCCACCACCAAAGTTCTTGATCTTTTGACAAGAATGAGACTAAGTCAGGAAAAAAATGCTTCCTGTTTTTCAAGATGAGAAGATTTTTATGATTTTTTTCCTAGCACTATACAAACAAGGAAGATTTTCAAAATAATCCTGAAGCCAATGACCACCAGGGCAAGAAGTGAATGAGGACGAAAGAGAAATGATAGCATTTCAAAGGATAAAGCTCAACCTAGAGCTCTAGAAAACAACACTGCTGGAGACACATTTGACAGGCAGGGCAGAACCTGTCTACATACCTTCCCGGTCAAAAAAACCTTGGAGAGCCTTTTTGGGATCCTTTATGTAAAAGGCCTCCCTTTCTTGCTGAAACGCTACAACAATGGGGTTCTCTTCGGCGTCATCCTCTACAGCATCTTCTCCTACAGAACAAGGGAAAGAAAGGAAGAGAACCAAGGTAAGAGACGACCATCTCAATGATCCCAACTATCCGTTCAGACTGCAGAAAGACACATTCATGCAAGATGAAAAGAAAAATTCATACTGAGGGGAGGGAGGATGAAACCACCACAAAACCATCAGTACAAGCATCTTCAGATTTTCTAAAGTGGGTAACAAGTCAAAACTTGTTTTCATGGCACCTTAATTTTTTTTTTCCTTCGTGACTAGATTTTAAAAGCAAAATTAACTACCACATTGTATGTGGAAAAACATCTGAGCGCCTTAGTCCGGCAGTCTCATTCTCTCACACTCAGGTCTAATAGTTTGTTTCCAATATAATTTCCCAGATACTTCTTATATCTGCCAAATAGACTGGTTTACTCATTTTTCTCTTAAAGTCATCAAATCCTACCCTGAATACCAATCCTAATGCTCAGCTTCATAAGGGCTTTTCCTTTCCTTCAAGTTCCGGTTCAAAACCTCTCTGCTTATAAACCTATAAAGTTCCCCCAAAGACCTAAGTCAATGCCGTCTAATAGAAATATAATGAAACTCAGATATGTAATCTTAAATTTTCTATTTGTCACATTAAAAAGTTAAAAAGAGGTTGGGCACAATGACTCATGCCTGTAATCCCAGCACTTTGGGAAGCAGAGGCGAGAGTACTGCCTGAGTCCAAGGGTTCGAGACCAGCCTGGGCAACTTGGCGAGACCTTGTCTCTACAATAAATCAAAAGATTAGTCAGGCATGGTGGTACATACCTGTGGTTCCAGCTACTTGGAAGGCTAAGGTGGAAGGATTACCTGAGCCCAGCAGGTTGAGGCTGTGGTGGCTGTGAGTGTGCCACTGAACTCCAGCCTGGGTAACAGAGTGAGACTCCAAATGAAAAAATAAAACAAAAATAAAAAATAAAATAAAAATATTTTAAAAATTAAAAAGTAACAGGTACTTATTGAAGAGTACAGGAAACAGCCAGAGGGGTGGCTCCCAAAATGGCGCCGAACATGGTAAAGCCACACTAGACAACAAAGGCCCTAGGTTCCGGCTTCTTCATGCACGATTCCCCTCATGTGCGAAGTTCAAACCTGCAAGCCTCCAATCATTTCCCATGACGTAGCCAGCTTTGTTATACCCACCCTTCTCCCATGTCGCTCCTCCAGTATGAACCTAGCACAGCCCCTTCCGGCCGCTGCCAAGCCCATAAATACACCCCTCACCCCTCTCCCTGCATAACTCTCTCTTGC